ATTTACTTTGCGACGTATGGATGTTGACATTGGGTATTGTTATTAATTGATTCATTGGTAAAAGTGATTTTTTCATCATACGCTTCCATGTCGAAGGCCTCAAAATATATGTCATTTTTTATATCACTTTAATTTCAGTTTTTACAACAATATCATGACAATACCGCACACATTTTACAAACAAAAGTTCTCAACTTTAATACAATGATCGTAGAACATGCAGATCCGAAACTCAATACAGAGAAAAGGTTAAAGATATCAGTTCAATGCGCTCAGATGGGGAATTTGAGAGATTCACAAGTGCCCGCCTGAGAAAAAGCCGAGGGCATCTAGGGATGTCACGCTGTCATTGCGTGTTATTATTAAAATTAAGAAGAGAACGATCCTTTTTTTTTTTTTTCATCAAATCGAACAAATTAAATTTACGTTACAATATATCGATGGATTTTGTTTTTTCAGTTTGCATTCAAAAAGTATGTTCAGGTATAGTGCAAAGTGCATTCGTATTGTTGGTAATACTTTTCATGTTTTTTGTATTCCTATCCAGATAAATAGAGCACAGACTGAGTTGACAGATGCTCGATGATATGAAAGTGCAGTGATCGAACCGTTGCGCTATATTTATACTCTGTTACAATATTACTGATTTATCATACGTGTTTCAAGACTTCAGAAAATTTCTAGCGATGCAATGTATCAAGTTTTCATTAGCGGATACCGTTTGGTCGAAGTGTCACACGGCAAGCCCTATTATGTTTACTGTATCGAAGTACTGGAGACGGAAACTGGTACTCGATATTTCATCGAGAGAAGATACAGCGAATTCAGCGCGCTACATCGTACGGTATGTTATTTATTAAAGCATAGTAAAATGCTATTATTTGCACAAAAATAGTATTTTTAGTCATGAAAAAAAAAAACATTCAATATATATCTGGAGCAGTATGTATTGAGAATCTTAATTTTTATTCAAACTTCAATTCTACTTTATTTTCTAAATAAGGTAACAATGCTAGTATTATTAGAAACGTGACTTGTACGTATTATAAGTATTGTTCTAAGCTATACAGTTAAAATAACATCTTTGCCTGAGATCTGCGTGAAGCATGATCGAGGAAGACAGACGTATATCTCCGTCCTTGAATTTTTCCGTGCTCTACGAACAAGGATAGATAGCGTTATTCACCTTTCATCTCCCATTCAATTTCGTTCGCACGAATAAACGTGTAATATAGATCGGTAACGAGGAGGATGTGTGCACTATACAAAATATTAAATAAGACGTACGTCATACAGCGTTACGTAATAACATGTTGACATGTTTACATCACAAATTACGTTTACCATTGTTGACATTTTTTTACTGCAACAGTACTTCAAACATTTTGAATTCTTCTTGATTCCAGTTACGTCAACTGAACATTTTCAGCAATATATTTGTAAGTTTCAAGAAATACAATAAAAATTACTCGTACATTTACTCATGGCAGTTTAATATTTTTTCGATAGTGCACGTTTAGTCAACTTGATAAAGCGTTTAATCAGCATTTCAGCGATATGTGATTTACGTGGCTGGCGTTCTCTAACAGTTGACTCACTGTAAAACATTCGTCGAACTTATATATGCAGCAAGCATTTTCGAGTTCTTTTAGAGCGCAACCGGATCGTTTGAAAGTCGCACGCGGTTTAAGCGGCTAGTGTCAAAAGTGCTTATCACGTTTGTGCAGATACACACGCTTGTAGTTATGTTTCAAATTGTGAGTTATCAGTGTATAAAACAGTAATTTATATAGAAAGTGACGTTTGTAATTTCTCGCTAATTCGAGATTCGTTGCGATTTTTCATACGATAAGTGAAGTGTATTTCCTGAGATAGTTTTCAAGTATGATAGGACACATTTTATACTCGACAATCGCTTGATAAGAAATATTACTGACATTAATTTTTTTTTTATTAAAAATAAACTAATTTTTGTTTCATCGCACTTTATTTGTCAATATATTATTTAATGCATTTGACGTACTTATATAATTTTTAACTAATATAATTTTTAATCAAATGGGACGCTTTCATACAAATCAAATTAACCAAATACTGTATTTAATAATATTATGTAGAGCAATAGTGGATTAATTTTTAATTCGCAGTACATTGACCTTAACATATGCTTTCTCTACAATTTTACAAGCAACGTACTTACATTTCTCGCGGTATACTTCTCACTTACCGAAATTTTATCAACGAAAAGACTTTTTTCACTGTTTCTTTAAATATGTAATGAAAGTTACTTTTAGCTCTCTCTTTTTTTTTCTTTTCTTTAATTATCAGACAAATGCAGAAAAATTTCTATTTTCTAAAATTGCCTTGACGCCACATAAATTTTAACTTTCTAAAGAATATAATTGTTAGCGAAACAGCTTGTGAAATTTCGCATGCACTTTATTATTATCGTGTAGAATTTATTAGTATTTACTTGAATGTTTGATTGCAGCTGAAAAAGGGAAATGCGGACGTTGTTCCGTTTCCACCGAAGAAGGTAAGAAATTGCCAGCCGAAGGTACTCGAGCAAAGGCGCGCAGCATTGGAAGTGTACATTCAAAAAATGCTAAGGCTTTCAACCACGAAGCAACAGGTTCTGAATTTTCTGGGTATAGAAGAACCAACACCAGGCGTATCATACAAAAGGTATTTCACATGTCCATGCAAAATTTATGATTTAAAAAATTCCGCAAGATCGAATGTGATTTAAAAAATTTCATAAGATCCAATGTGATTTAAAAAATTGCACAAAATCGAATGTGATTTAAAAAATTCCATAAGATCGAAT